GCTAATTGGTCCAGCAACAGGTGTAATAATTTGGGATAATTGGGTACAAATGAAGCTTCTAAATCTAAATATATACCAGTGAAATATATTTAAAATAATGATGAGTCCCTCCCAAATAATGAGTGTTGTGGTTCTGTTGTGCCACAGAGTTTTTGTCCCCTCAGGTTTGGCAATGCTTATTAGTAGGTCAAATCGAGTGTATGAATGATTTTAGAGTGTTATTAAGGTGCGAGTGAGCACCCTCTTGTGGTGCCAGAAACATGGATTTATAGTCAGAGGTCCAAGACGAGGCTTGCCTCGATCGGGACTTGAAGCCTAACAACCTTCCAGAGGGATATTAAGGCCACCACAACAGCTTAAGTTCTCCCCAGCAAGTATACCTTATTCCTAAATATAGTTCAGGATCAGCGTGAACTACATACACCGGGGAGTGTGGTACAGTATATTGTAAGATATACAGTATATTGTATATTCTAAGAACATATATACTTCTTGCGTCCAGGTTGGGTATGTGTGTAATGGTCTCCATTTTCTGTAGCTTGTTTCGTATGGGCCAAATTCAAGATTTCTTTCTTCACGATTCCACAACATTTCTTAGACATCAAAGCAAGCAAAGGAGTCGAATAAAACGCCAAAAATTTGCACATCTTATTTACTAGTCTGTTCAACAACCTGTTTGACCTGACTCGTTGTCACCTTCTACAGTGATGGCTCTAAATTACTCATTCCTTAACATCATTCAGCGAGTCCAGTAGCATTGAGCTATTTACCACAATGTTTCTAAAACTATTACAGGTTGGCGAAGTATTGCCTGTCATACCTCACCTGTCTTCCGTAACATCCCCAAACTCATTCCTTATATGATTGAAACCCCCAGAAAAATTCAGCAAGATGATAAACTGTGATTCTATGTACATAAGGGTGCGGTGACGCCCGCGATATGAGGTGATTAAATGATACAGTCCCAGGTTCGATCCTCGGCCTGCAGAGAGGATGCACCGGAAGTGGTGGTGGTGGTGGTTGGGGAGGGGGGCAAGTAGGGGGCGAGTCTACCAAGACGCTGGTCTAAACAAGCCCACACAGGTAGATATGTGGGCTTAATAGCGTGTACGACGCCCACTCTCCTGGAGCAGACGAAGCCTACTTGGGTGTTTCTGACACATTATGGGGGTCACTTACTCCTAGTTCATTCGTTCACATCTCAGCTTCCTCACAATGTACCTCAATCACATCTCAGCTTCCTCACAATGTACCTCAATCACATCTCAGCTTCCTCACAATGTACCTCAATCACATCTCAGCTTCCTCACAATACACTCCATCACATCTCTGTCTCCCAACAGTCCAGCTCTTCCAAGACATTGTTTTGAAGTATTGCAATTACTCAGCATCTTTTAAATCCCCAATGTAAAGGCTTAGTTATTTATGTGTAACTTTGAAACGTGATTGTCCTAAACTATTAAACAAAAAATAGTCTTTTCATTCATTGTGAATTTGCTAATTGGAGAGCAGCATTCATCATGCAGGTTTCCTCTGCAGTGTTACTATTGACTACTTGGGGCCCACGTGGTGTCATTCACAGGGTTCAGGCTCTCGAGGGTAGTCTCAGTGGCGCCTGGCCCCCCACCTAGCACAGCCTAACATTATTTCTCTCTATCATTTTCGTTTCAGCTTATCCTCATGTCGTCTGCCAACTTTCTCGTTTCCTGTTCCCATTTTTCATCTAGTTTTTATTTTTTTTCCTACCGAGTTACTCTCATTTTCTCTATTTCCTTCTGCCCAAAACTTTTAGCTTTCACATCCTGTTTCATTTTTCTCTCCTGGCGCGTTGTGTGTGTGTGTGTGTGTGTGTGTGTGTGTGTGTGTGTGTGTGTGTGTGTGTGTGTGTGTGTGTGTGTGTGTGTGTGTGTGTGTGTGTGTGTGTGTGTGTGTGTGTGTGTGTGCGTGTGTGTGTGTGTGTGTGTGCTCAGACACTCCCTCAGCTTCCTCAACAACCATGTAGAAGCAAGGAAGCTTCGCATTTTGTTAAATCACAAAAAGACTTTTTATTTTTCTTGTCGAAGGACTCGCTGATCACTGGTTTTTTTCCCCCTGACTGGTTATGACGATTCAATATACGACTCTTCTGTTTTGGGGCAACAGTCACATGTTTTCTTTTGGAGGTGAATGTGTATAGAAGACTGTTCGGAGATCACACACACACACACACACACACACACACACACACACACACACACACACACACACACACACACACAGCTCACGAAGGTACTCTACAAGCAGGGGACTGATTAAGGGAAACATATATCTCACCTGGATGATTTCTCTATGAATGCACTCACTCACACTCATGACCTACTTTACCTACGCTTCAGTCTTGATGAGATGGATGATTCAGAATGAGACACGAGACTATCCACACAAAAACTTACTGAGAATGAATGTGTTTTCTGCTTTTTCCTTAAATGTAATGAGAATAATAGAAGCTCAGCTCATTGGTCGACCCCGAAGCAAGTGATGAGCAGCAAATAACGTCCATATTTGAGCCCAACTGCCCAGTGATCATTTAATTTTTTTTATTACACACCTGTATAAAACGCGTTTAGCATCAATGGCTGGTACTGCGGTAGAGTACTCCCTGTTTTATTTATATATTAGTATTGCTAACATACACAGTATAACAAATGAAAACATAGTCGCTGCAGTTATTATATGGTAAACTCTGTATATTCTGAATGGTACAACCTGTTTTAGCAGAGAGAAATTGGTTCAATGGAAGAGATATATTTGTTCAGACCTACTTATATGGTAGATGTGGCTTGGGGAGGGAGGGAGGGGGAGCATTTACGTTCATGTTAATTTGTAATTTACAATATATTCGTCTTGCTAAAACACTTAATTCTGAAATGATACTTAATTGATATCTTGCCATTTACACTCGTCTCCCGAAAAATATCCCCTGAAAGTTTCATGACGACAGTGTCATGACATCAATGTCATGACATCAGTCTCATGACGTCAGTGTCATGGCATCAGTCTCATGACATCAGTGTCATGACGACAGTGTCATGACGACAGTGTCATGGCATCAGTCTCATGACGACAGTGTCATGACGTCAATGTCATGACATCAGTGCTGACAGAAAAGTGGCTGGACAAAGACAAATCAGCCAGCATAAATAACACTAAATTTGTTAATGGTGAACAGAATAATACAGAATACCTACTTAAGGTATTCCACACAGTGTAGGCCTACTCAAGGTATCAGACATTGTAGGCCTATTTAAAGGTATCACACAGCATAGGCCTACTTGGGTAGGTCCACTAAAGGTATAACACAGTGTAAACCTACTTAAGGTACAAAACACAATGAAGATATACTTCAGATATAACAAATATAGGCAAATTAAAGATACCTAACACACAATGTAGGCCTACTGAATGTGTAACTCGCAATGTAAGCCTACCTAAAGTACCACACATTCAAACAGAGCAAAAAAAGAGAGAATGAAGTACTTAAGAAACACATAATCTTGCTTACAGTAAGTGTTCACATTTGGGAGATATATCCGAGGCACGACAGAACACTTTAGATACCACCTTGAGCCACCGAGGCATACACATTATGCAGAGGATTTCTCTGGAAGATAAATGACAGTCCAAGGTCTTGGAAAGCTAGCGGGTTTCTTAAGATTTTTTTTGGAAGACATAGAGATCCAGAATACTGGGAGGCGACTGGTTCTCCTGGGTGCTGGAAGACACATGGTCATCCAGTATTATAAGACACAAGACAATGCAGTTTTCCTGGATTTAAAAAAAAATGACCTTGAGATCATTTCAGAATTAAGAGTTAAATACTAAAAAATGATTTCAAAGGTCTGCTCTGAAAAAGTGTTTCTAATGTTTTTTTTTGAGTCCATGTATGTATAGAACAGCCTTAAGTATATTCTTCGTGTTACAGCAAGCGAGGGACAAGAGGAGATGTTGAAACTACGGGCGTTAGGCTGCGTCTGATTCGTTACACTCAAGAATTTACAGAAACTCAATTCACGTTGCTCATTCTCTGGACTAAACGCAACGCTGCAATTTGGTTTCTGTAATATTCGGTACTAACTTTAAGCTTATAAACAGATTATTACGTGCCTGAAACTAAATTTGAACTAGAAATGGATTAATATCTGTTTGGAGACAATGGATAACCTATTAATCATTTAATACCTGATCTAACCTTAAAGTTTATATGGATTAATTACAATAGTGATGCAAACCCTAAAGTATTGACTAGTACCTCAGTCTATAATTCTCTTCCTGAAGAATACAAACCCTAATAGAAGGCGACTGAAGATAAAGTGAAAAAAATCAGCGTCTCTAAAGATGGTCTATAATTAATTAATTAGACATAGTAACAACAGTAACTAGATCCAGTACAGTCGTGATTATCGTGATTAGAACTTAAAATATTCTTGAGATAGACAGTTTGATATATATATATATATATATATATATATATATATATATATATATATATATATATATATATATATATATATATATATATATATATATATATATATATATATATGTCGTACCTAGTAGCCTGAATGCACTTCTCAGCCTACTATGCAAGGCCCGTTTTGCCTAATAAGCCAAGTTTTCCTGAATTAATATATTTTCTCAAATTTTTTTCTTATGAAATGATAAAGCTACCCATTTCATTATGTATGAGGTCAATTTTTTTTATTGGAGTTATTGGAGTTTTTATTGTTTTTAGTAGATATATGACCGAACCTAACCAACCCTACCTAACCTAACCTAACCTATCTTTATGGGTTAGGTTAGGTTAGGTAGCCAAAAAAGTTAGGTTAGATTAGGTTAGGTAGGTTAGGTAGTCGAAAAAACATTAATTCATGAAAACTTGGCTTATTAGGCAAATCGGGCCTTGCATAGTAGGCTGAGAAGTGCATTCTGGCTACTAGGTACGACATATATATATATATATATATATATATATATATATATATATATATATATATATATATATATATAAATTCATAAAGGCCCTTTATCACTTGCATGCCTACTTCTTCAAGACAACTTTGTCTCCTTGAGTTAAACTTTCCATGAAATGACAGGAAGCATAAGTTGCCCCACATCAGGTAAAGACATGAAGTTATTAACACTATATCAAAGCTGTCTTTTCCGAAAAAAAGATGGAAAATACAAGGCGGAAAAAGTTTTGAACCTATTTTGCACGTCACTGCTGAGTGTGCTCTTCTAAAATCGTGTCCTCAAGCACACTCAGTTCACATAAGTGGTGTTTTCTTCACTAAGATGACACTCTTGAGAGGGAATAAGACAGCACGGGCGTGAATATCACAATTAGGGCCAAGACCGCCCTCTAGCGTGGCTGCGGCCGTGGAGGCTCCCGGGCACCGGCGGCACCGCATATTGGGTGGGGGGAACCACCAGTAGCGGGAAGACGGGGCGGCGGCGCCGCCGGACCGGGGCTCTGGGCTCCTGCACCAGCACCTACAGCAGGATCTCTCTGTAGGGCCGCTGTCCAGGAGGCATCTCCCAGTGGACGGTGGGTGGTCGCAGCGGCGCTAGTGGGCGGGCTGGCTGCTATATGAGCGTCTCCTTCTGCAGGTCTACCGTCTGCATCTCCTGTAGACTTTTTCCTTTAGTCTCGGGGACAAATATGAGTGTGAAGACGAGGGCAAGAGCTGCGACACTCGAGTACAGCCAAAACGCTCCGTGCAGCCCAAGTAAGGACTCCAGGTCCACGAAGGTCTTCACACTGACGAAGGAGCAGGCATAACTCACAGCAGCTGCCACAGAGCCAAGCCCCCGATGTTTCAGTGGGAAGAGTTCCCCGATGTACAGCCAGCTGATTGGTGAGACACCGAGAGCGAAGGCGATCTCGATAACGAGTATGCAGAAGAGAGGGACCCAATCTGAATCCCGCCATTGCTGTCGTGCAAGGAGATTCTCGTCTTGATCAAGACCCTTCAGGTACATGTAGCCTCCAAAGGCTGCCAGTGCCGCGGACATGAGCATGTTGCTGAAGACAAGCAGCGGCCGACGCCCGACAGTATCGATCAGTGCCGAAGACGCCATTCCGGCGCAGATCTGAACGAAGGCCACCACGACTGCTGCGCGATACGGGTTCAGACCAACGAAAGTCTTGGCTAAAATGGGCACTGCATAGAAGTTGAAGGCGTTCGCACCGCTGAACTTCTGGAAGACCATGAGGCCGCAGGTGATGAATAGCGGACGGAGGAGCTCGCGAGGCGCTGCGCGTTGCGGACAGGAGTCTGTCTCGCGACGCAGAGTGGCGATGTTGGCTTTCATGGTGGTCAGCTCACGCGCCACGTCCGTCTCTGACCCGCGCAGCCAGCGCAGCGCGTTAGCTGCCTCGGTGTCCCGCCCTCGATACAGCAGGAAGCTAGGCGTTTCAGGGATGAATAGTGCGGCGAGGAACAGGCAGACAGGAGCCACCGCCGTAACCGTGGCTAGTTCCCGCCAGTTGAGGAAGGCGCCTAAAAGGTAGGAGAGCAGCATGCCAATGTTGCTGCTCAGCTTGGCTAAGGCACACAAGCAGCCCCGAATCTCGGGGTGAGCGATCTCGCTGATGTAGACAGGCGTAACAACAGCGATGACAGCAGAACACACACCACCTGTCAATGCTGCCACGTACAGCATGTTGACGTTCCATGCTACCACAGTCAATAGCCACGACAGTGCGAAAGGTATCGCCACAGCACACAATATTCGCTTCCTTCCGAACCTGATGGCCATTCCGCCTGGCACTGCTCCGAAGAAAGCTCCCAGGAGTGACAACGAAGCTATCCACGAGCCTTGATCTTCGCTGATGGAGAAGTGGTGGCCCTGGGCAGAGAGCATGGCCATGGAGGCTAGTGCCGGGGAGGAGTAGCCCTTCCCCAGCCCGGCGCACAGCGGCCCCAGCGACACAACCAGAGTCGCCAGCACCTGCAACACGGAACAAGGCGTCAGTTAATGGAGAAGAAAAACTGGACTATTTGCAAAAAGTCGTATAACTCTTTAGATCACAAGGTTAATGATCAGTTTCCTGAAGTGGGTGTAACATAATTTAGTTATATATAAAGACGTTAACTCCCTTATGATCTCAGTAAGACGAAAATGACTTTACACGTCTCTTATTTGTTCCCCTGAGGAGGAAATAATGTATCTCATGTAATATTCACTTGACAATTAGGCTAAGAATCCCGAGACAAGCATACTAAATACTATATTTATAATATATAGTGAAAATATCGATTAAAAATGGAAGATAAAAACCACAGTTACAAGCAAAAATATTTCTTTTCCATCCCAATAAAATATGTGGATTAATCATTTCATTTTCTAAATATTATGGAATGGTTTATTACGCGGCTCCGACAATAACTTAATTAATAGCTGCTGAAGCGAATTACTTCACTTAAAATTAATTCAATTTAAGTAACATTTACTTTAGATATATATTGTTTCCGGAAATGAAGGTTGTAGTACCATACAGTGAAGCGTGACACAGTGGACACCTGTTATTATACTGTGATGTATGACACGCCGGTTGTCTAATGCGATGATCCATCACCTATATCCCTGTCATATCTACTTTTAAAATAACTAATGGAGTTGGCTTCTACAGCCTGCCCATTTAGTTCTATTTTCTCACTACTCGAATATTAAATAAAAACTGTCTAACATCTTTATGATTCATGTGAGTCTCAAGCTTCCATCCATGTTCTCCTGTTCTACTGGTATTCTTTGTAAACATTTACTCTTTTTCCACTCTGTCAATCCCCCCTAAGTATTTTATACATCTCTATCATGTCACCCATCTCTCTCCTCTTTTTCTAGCGTCGTCAGGTTTAGTTCTTTTAGTCTCTCTTCATACCCTATCTCTCGCAATTCCGGGACGAGCCTTGTTGCAGACTTCTATATTTGTTTAAGATATTTTATGTTTCTTTTGCTAGGGGCTCCATGATGGGGCTGCATACTCCAAAATTGGTCTTAGGCGTGTTCAGTGATCTAAATACCTCCTTATTTAGGTTCATGAATTATGTTCTATCTCTTGTTAATGTAGGGTATTCTGCTGACTTATTATCCTAGAATAGAGTATCCTCGTAGGGGCCTCGTAGCCTGGTGGATAGCGCGCAGGACTCGTAATTCTGTGGCGCGGGTTCGATTCCCGCACGAGGCAGAAACAAATGGGCAAAGTTTCTTTCACCCTGAATGCCCCTGTTACCTAGCAGTAAATAGGTACCTGGGAGTTAGTCAGCTGTCACGGGCTGCTTCCTGGGGGTGGAGGCCTGGTCGAGGACCGGGCCGCGGGGACACTAAAGCCCCGAAATCATCTCAAGATAACCTCAAGATAAGATATCCTCTTCATATGAGTTTCCGAGGTAGGTTCGGTGAACCTAGTTCTGGTAGTTCACTCCCAGGTCTTTTTCTCTAGTCGTTACAGAGAGGTAGTTCCCTTTCACTGTGTACTGTCCTTTTGGTCTCCTGACTCCTGTTCCCATTTCCATCACTTTACACTTGATAGTGTTGAAATTCAGTAGCCATTTCTCTGACCAACCAACTCCTCAGGTTGTTTAAGTCCTCCTGGATATTCTTACAATCCTCATCTGTCACAACTCTTCTCATTAGATTTGTACTGTCTGCAGACATCGACATAAAAGACTCAACTCCTGTAGGTAGGTCGTTTACATAAATGAGAAATAGTACGGGATCCCAGCACCGATGCTTGAAGTACTCTACTCGTTTCCCTTCGCCTTTCCGACTTTACGCCCCTCACAGTTACACTCTGAATCCTGCTAGGTAATTCTTTACCCATGTTAGTGCTTTCCTGTTTACTCCCGCCTGCCTCTCGAGTTTGTGAAGAAAACTCTTGTAAAGACTCTATCAAAGATTTTTTTGGTAGTCCAGAAATATTCAGTCTGTCCACCCTTCTCTGTCCTGCCTTATTTTTGTTACTTTATCATAGACAGAACTCCAGTAGGTCCATCAGGCACGATTTTCCTTCTCTAAAGTAGTTCCCTTCTCTAAAGCCATTCCCTTCCCTAAAAGATTTTCCTTCCCCTAAGATAGAGGTTGAGAGGAAGGATTGGACTGAAAGTAGAGGCAGGGCTAGGCTACGAGGGAAGGCTAGGCTGCGAGGCAGGGCTTGGCTGCGAGGCAGGGCTGCTCCAGCAGATGTATCCACTGCCTCTGCTTGACCATCTCGTCCTCCCATTTTGTGTCCAACAACTTCTTTTGCTCCAGAATCATCTCAGTCCAAACTTTTGCAGCTCTTCTCACATTCCCTTGTAGCCGTCTCCACAATCTTATTCTCTCCCTCCGTCGTGAGTTCCTCCATGTTACTCCGTCATCTAATTACTCTTCCCCGTTTCTCTCACTGCAAAAAGACTCTCTTAAGGTAGACGACATGTCCATTACTTTAATCCATCCTGCCAAGCACAATTGGTGAGTGAATCCCAATAGCGTCGTCCTTGCAGTGTTATCTTGTTACGACCCGAGTAAACGTCGTCCTTGCAGTGTTATCTTGTTACGACCCGAGTAAACGTCGTCCTTGCAGTGTTACCTTGTTACGACCCGAGTAAACGTCATCCTTGCAGTGTTATCTTGTTACGACTTGAGTAAACGTCGTCCTTGCAGTGTTACCTTGTTACGACTTGAGTAAACGTCATCCTTGCAGTGTTATCTTGTTACGACTTGAGTAAGCGTCATCCTTGCAGTGTTACCTTGTTACGACTTGAGTAAGCGTCGTCCTTGCAGTGTTACCTTGTTACGACTTGAGTAAGCGTCATCCTTGCAGTGTTACCTTGTTACGACTTGAGTAAACGTCGTCCTTGCAGTGTTATCTTGTTACGACTTGAGTAAACGTCGTCCTTGCAGTGTTATCTTGTTACGACTTGAGTAAACGTCGTCCTTGCAGTGTTATCTTGTTACGACTTGAGTAAACGTCGTCCTTGCAGTGTTATCTTGTTACGACTTGAGTAAGCGTCATCCTTGCAGTGTTACCTTGTTACGACTTGAGTAAACGTCGTCCTTGCAGTGTTATCTTGTTACGACTTGAGTAAACGTCGTCCTTGCAGTGTTATCTTGTTACGGCCTGACATGTGGTCACAGTCAGGTCACGCTGCCTTACCCAGCTGCTGCCTCTATCCCATACAGTTCACGCCTCGAATTTTCTTCACAGAAAAATAGTTCAACACTTCAGAGTTCACGAAATTTCGTGCTTGGAATTTCAGGAGCTTATTTACCTCCACCAAAACGACGAGAAACCCGCCGATAAGACCGGTTTCTGAGGTCTTACACAGTCAGAGTTTGACTGTATGTATTTGTGTGTACTTATCTAGTTGTGTTTGCGGGGGTTGAGCTCTGGCTCTTTGGTCCCGCCTCTCAACTGTCAATCAATTGGTGTACAGGTTCCTGAGCCTCCCATTGGGGGTTGCAGCTGCATTATCAGGGAAACTTATGGCAACATGAAGCAGCTTTTGAGGTGCATGAAAGATGACAGGAAGAAAACCCGCTGGGTTGTTCATCCTGTCACTTGTACCCAGACACAGCTGGGACAGTTAAGCAAGTCCCAGCTGTGTCTGGGTACAAGTGACAGGATGAACAACCCAGCGGGTTTTCTTCCTATTGGGGAGTGTTGTACATTCTGCTATGGCGGTATGTTCACTCACAAGATGAGTGGCGCTGCCCAATAAACTCGCCCCTCGGGGCAAAATTAAAAAAAATCAATGACAGCTCTGTGGCGACTTGAGGGGTAAGTGGTGCTCTTTGTGGACCCAACAAAGTTCAGCTCTTGTCTTTGTGAGTGGAAGAGCCGTGCGAGAGCTTCCTATACTATGTCATGGAAGACTAGCCACTCCGGCCATCATTGCAGCCCGGGAGACAATCGCTAATCATCCACCACGTGTTAAATCAAGATTGTATTATCATTCTTACACATAAAACAATGACTAATCATAAAGTATAATTATTATATTTGATTTTAGCTTGTACAAGTGTGTGATAAACTGATCTTTTTACATCTCAAAAAAAAAAAAAACCGAGACAACGTTTAACAAATTGTTGACGGTGTAATGTAAGACTTTAGTCTCGACGTGTCAGAGGACGAGCAGAGATCAGGGTAGGCTGGCTGGGAGTAGGCAAGGAGGCTGTATGTTAAGTAATAAAGTTTTTATTACCCTGGTGTGAGTTTACTGCCTTCCTGGGTTTTCCAGACTCTCCTATCCTGATCCCCCATTCTTTTCCCACCTTCTCCTCCTTCCTCCTTCACCTTTTCCTTCCTCCTCCACCTCTTCCTTCCTTCTCCGCCTCTTCTTTCATCCTTCATGATGATCTATCTTCATCCCCAATCTTCTCCATCTTTGTTGAGCTTCAGTTCCTTACTGCCGCTTGCGTTCCATTTCCTGTTCGCACTATCTCTCTTCCTCCCTATCTCTCTTCCTCCCTATCTCTCTTCCTCCCTATCTCTCTTCCTCCCTAATGGCTCCTGATTATTCTCGGCTTCCATTCATCAGCATTAATCTCCTCTTTCCTTCCCTCCTCTCCGCATTTCTTGCCTCAGTGTTGCCCGAGTAATTTCCCATCTCCTGGTAGAGTGGTGGTGATGTTTTTAACTCATTCTGTCTTCCATCTTTTCTATCCTCGATGGCTTCTTCATTCTTCTTTATTTCCTGCCTCTCTTCTTCATTCAGTATCGCCAGTGTTGGGGTCAGCACCACTGGTGGGGTCACCACCAGTGTTGGGGGTCACCACCAGTGTTGGGGGTCAGCACCAGTGTTGGGGTCAGCACCAGTGTTGGGGTCAGCACCAGTGGTGGGGGTCAGCACCAGTGTTGGGGTCAGCACCAGTGGTGGGGTCAGCACCAGTGTTGGGGTCAGCACCAGTGGTGGGGTCAGCACCAGTGGTGGGGGTCAGCACCAGTGTTGGGGTCAGCACCAGTGGTG